TTACGAAAATGCCATAATAATAAAATGGGTATTACAGATAAAGTCTGAGATGTTTCTGTTGAGAGGAGTCAAGCGTTGCAACTATTAATCAAGTCTTTACATCTTTTAAGTTTAGGGCTAGTGGGCAAGTGTATCATCTCGAATAAGTTCTGAGATGGTTCTGTCGAGAGGCCTTGATGGAGATCTTTGGCCAAACATGTTGAAGGCCGAGCTGAAAGGGCAACCTGAGTATCGAGGGAGGCCAACTTCTAATGTGGGATACCACTTTATAAAAAGGGATCAGAATAAGTTTGATATGTAGAACTGTATCTAGGATAGAATTTTATCTTTAATAACTAAAGATTACGATAATATAACAACTTTAGAAAATCGTGATGTTTTCGGAACCAATAAAACCAATGAACAAGTAAATATAAATTTATAAATCTTAGACTTAGACATAAATATTACATTTTTGAATGCTCTAATTTTGGAGACTTGTCTAAAATAAAAAAAAAAACCCTAAACATCCTTCCAAATTGGAATAGATTTTAAAAAATATACAAACTCAACTCATTAAATTTTAATCAAATTAAATAATAAATTTATCCAAATTCAATCTAACCGGACCAACTTACACTTTTACATCTTAAATTGTGTCCAAACAAAATTAAATATTTCAAAATCACTTTTTATAAAATTTAACACACCAAATATTCATCCTAATTATAAAAATAGTGAGATTATATAATTTAATTTTTACGATTTTTCTCGGGCACATTAACTATCAAAGTTTATCACATATTTTAAAGTGATGTTATGGCATGAGAAAGTGGTCCCCACCAATATTTGATGGACCGTGGTTGTGACGCCACGTGGAGAAAGGTTTCCCCGATCGTGGATGAGTTTGAGAGATACAGCTATTGAGGAGGTGATCCTGATGCGTAGCCGCCCCCACCTTGTGCCACTTGCAATGTTCAGACGCAAACAAGATCCAAAGTAGCGTAAGCACAACCACACCTCATTCTCATCCAACGGCTCTTATCCTTCCTCAGCCACCTCTTTCAATCTCACCCCTTCCTTCCTATCCCCAGTTCTTTAATAACCCTTTGTCCTTATAGTCTTTGCTTCTTCTCTCTTGTTGAATTCTTAGTTCAACCCCGTTTACTCTCTCTCTCTCTCTGATTCCGCCATTCTCGTTTTCCCAAGTGAATCCCAATGCCTTCCTCACTCCACCATTGAGCCACATTACATCAATTTAGACCATGGTATGTACATATATAATATATGGTATTGGCACCCTCTATATCATTTACAATTGAATACCCATTTTTTTTTATTTTTATTTTTATTTTGAGTAGGACACAATGTTGGTGCCTCCATGGCTTGAGCCACTCCTAACCACACCCTTTTTCAATGTGTGTCGGATTCACGGGGCTGCCGCTAAGAGCGAGTGTAACATGTTTTGTCTCGATTGCAATGAGGAAGCATTTTGCTTTTATTGCCGTTCCTCAAGACACAAGGATCACCGAGTCATTCAGGTAAATGACTCCTATAATATACTATATTATATAGTATAATTCATTATTCACATTTAATTTTTGCATTTGCTCTTTTCTGTTCCTGATTTTTGATACATGTCAAAGTCAAAGCCTATGGACAATGGTGGGGGTTGGTGAGTTTTTTTTTTTGATAATAACAATGATTGAAACTATGTGTTGCACAATCTATGTACATATCCTAAGTTAACAGTGTTGTTGTTGATTAGATAAGGCGATCTTCATATCACGATGTAGTGAGGGTGGCGGAAATTCAGAAGGTGTTGGACATTAGTGGAGTTCAGACATATGTGATCAACGGTGCCAGAGTTCTGTTTCTGAATGAGAGGCCTCCACCAAAATCTGGAAAAGGAGTAGCTCACATTTGTGAGATTTGTGGCAGAAGCCTCTTGGACCCCTTTCGCTTCTGTTCTTTGGGGTGTAAGGTGAGATATTTTCTTAACCTTAATTTAATTTAATTTCCCTCTCACAAGTCACAACTATTGTTTCATCATATCATTATCAAAATTCGCATAATTCAAAACTCCATTCACCCTCCTCATATGGGTATAACACCCACCACCCCTACATCATCACCTACATTTGAAAGCCCATCAACATCATAATTATATTCCCGGCCACCGCCATTAATCACCATGTTTGTGTATATATATATATATCTAGTCCATAGACATTTTCATACATTGTTAATACTATTATTATTACTATTAGATTAAGAGAGGGGAACATGAACATGGCATAGTGTACTAAAATAATCAATGAATATGATTGGACTAATTTGATACTTAGTTGTATTAATTATTATAATGTTGGCAATGGTAAAATCAGCTCGTAGGAATAAAGAGAAATGGGGATACAAAGTTTGCTTTGGAGGGTAAAAATGAGGCATCAACAATGGAGGGTATGTCAAGAAGATCAAACTCTTCAAGGAATGAAGAAGAGGAATTGCGTGAAGGCTCACAACAAGACATGTACCCGGCCACGCCACCACCACTTGCTGCTTCAAACGCAAGGAGAAGAAAAGGAATTCCTCATAGGGCACCTTTTGGCTCATAATGATTATTTATTTTTACCTTCAAAATTGGTGGTACATACTCAACATTCAACCCCGTTTACCTTTGAAACAATTTACCCCTCTTGGGGAATCTGGTTAGTATAATTTTATTTTTTTCAGTAAAGGGAAAAAGAAATGGTAGACTTTGGTGGGAGGGTGTCATTTGTCGAATGTCCATGTAGTGGGAAAGGAAAAGAAAGGAAAGGGTATATAGGAAAGTTCCTTCTTTTGGGGATTGGGTCCCAAAACAACAAATTATCCCTTGTGGAGAACCAATAATGCATATTTGTTTAATATTTAATAGTTGCTGAGTGTACATGTCATTAAGAAATTTAAAAGCATGACTTTGTGGACTCCGTTTTAGAGTTTTATATGGCCCACCATCCACATGGGCCGTTTACATCAAGTTAACCACACTGTTTATACCATACGGTAATCGGACCAATATTAACAAAGAAAATGACACTTATACAACAAAATTTTATGATTAAGAGAGAGAACAAGAAGAGAATTTTGAAATATAATAAATGATCAGATAGAGAAATGTTGTATAAATTGTTGCATTGTATGTAATGTATTGAGGACAAATTAACTTACAACTTATCACGTTACAAATTTTTGAGAGCTCAATGATTTGGGTTCTCTCTGTTTCACTTTTTATTTCCCTCTTTTCCCCATGTCTCTGTTTTCTTTTATTTTCATTTTTCATGGATTTTTGGCTAGGGAAAATATGAAAATGGAAAGGGTACCAAATGCAAATCATTGGTTGTCTTTATAATTACCTAGAGTCCTTGTCTCTATTGCATAATTGAATCGATGAGCCAAGACAATTAGGTAGAGCAGATATGAATTGATCGTTACTCAAAGTTATCAATTCTGAAAACGCGCGTCATCCAAATTTAACATATAGTAGGTACGTTAATTAAGATATTTCAAGTTTTAAATAACATAAAGTTCCTCAATCAAGACGACCATCTTATTATTAAACTTTAACTGCAATTTTTTTTTATGCTTTTAGACAGTTGGAAACTACAAATAAACCTGAATTAAATTTTAGTTTTAACCATATCTCTATTCAACATTAAATTCATGGATTTAGTATACTTTTTGGGATTTGCTCCGCTCTATTGGGCTCTAGTTGGGTAAGATTAGATAGTTAAAAACGGTGAAACTCTTTAGAGTTTAATGCTACTGTGTTTTTAAGACTAATAGTTACAAATAGTTCTACCAACTAATTATTATTATATTTTTATAAAAAGATATACCTCATTTTCATTGAATCGATCCTGATAAGAAGGTGTATCGTATAATAATTTTTTTTTCTTTCAAGAATCTAAAGTTGAAAAAGTTTGTTTTTCATGTTTAGTTTATTAATCAAATAATGATATTTCTAAAAAACATTGTTTCCTAGAAATGATTTGTACATATATTTCTCAAGAAGTTGTTCCCATAATTTTTTACTTCCCTAAGAATCCAATATCGAGAATGTTAATTTATCGCATTTAGTTTGTTATTTAAAAAAATACTCTATCTAGACCTATATAGAAGTAAAAATAAATAATTTCACACAAATTAAGAAAGTTCGTTAAATATATTTATTTTTCACAAATTTACATAAAATTGTTCCCATAATTTTTTACTTCCCTAAGAATCCAATATCGAGAATGTTAATTTATCGCATTTAGTTTGTTATTTAAAAAAATACTCTATCTAGACCTATATAGAAGTAAAAATAAATAATTTCACACAAATTAAGAAAGTTCGTTAAATATATTTATTTTTCACAAATTTACATAAAATATACACTACATTTCTTAAAATATCCTTAACCACATTTATGATAGATAATGTTCTCATTTATTACTATAAGGATATTTTTGGATTAAAAACATTAAATAAGGTTGACTCAATTGAAATTTGTTTATATTCTAGTCCAAAAATTTAAGCATCTTTTGCTTATATGTAGGTTTAAAGGGGGATAACGTTTCTAGGAAATATTGTTTCTCGGAAATTGTTTTCGTAGAGGTTTTTCACATAATTATTCTCATGAGGGAGGTGAGAAACTAACATTCTTGAGGTAAAAATAAAGTTTTAATGTGGTAAAAATGTTATGTTACTTTCGTTTTCCTATTTAATGTAGTAAAAATTATTGATTCCAAATCCTTCTCATTCTTATTATGAGGCATACTTTAGAAGGAATTATTGGTACTTTTTATAAGGCACTTTATAATTCTTATAAAACATTAATTTTACTTTTTATTTTTTACCCATGTTAAAGACTGTGATAGTATATGTTTTTCTCTCACACTTTTTAAATTCTTCAATGGTCATTTATTATTTTTATTGATATTGGTGTGTAAGCTTTAATATGGGTAATATTTTCACTTCTTTCATAAAAATGTAATGATAATTAAGAAAGATAAAATTGGTAACTTGTTATTTTATTTTATGAACATTATAAAATCAATTAACATCACTACTCTACTTATATTGGTATGTGTGGTTCAGTTAAAAGTTTCTTATAATAAGGACCAGAGGGAGTATCATATGTAAATATTCCCATAAACATTTATGACCAACTCTAGAAATGGTGATTTTCGAGATTTATAATTCTTAGAAACCATGATTCCTAGAAATTATAAAAAAAAATTCTCTTTTACCAAACTCTCCCTAAAAGTAAAATGATATCTTCGATCGTAATTTCGTACTCAAAATGAGGATCGGACACCAATCCTTAGTTAAGAAGTCTAGGATATTTATACACATGATAAGGAAATTATATAATTTTTTTAATAAAATTTATAACTTTTTAGTACTTAGAAATTATAAAAATTAGTGTGGAATGCATGTTAAATTATAAAATATTAGAGTTATTTACTTATTATGAGAAAATAATAAAAATGGATATTTTAATTTTTTAATTTGAGAAGTGCAAATAATACTTTTTTATTGATAAATATCAATAATTAGTGAATTATGTTAACCAAAAAGATTCGAAAACACTTCTTTATTATCACTTTAACTTTATCTAATATATTTTTCGTAGTATAATCTTTATTATTCACTAAAATTTATTAAAAATTAGAAAATTGAGAAATATTTATTAATTAGGTGTGAAACTCATTAAATTTTATAATTTCCATAATAAATTTTACCTATTAAAAAGAACGATTTCCTAACATTCTATATAATATATTTTTCAAAATTTATATTTTATATAATTGTAAATGGTTTGAAATTACTCATTGTCAATGACATATCTTCCTGTTTAAAGTACACCGTCATATTAGGATATTAAATATGAAGTCACCTTTTCTTAGTCTTTCATTTCCCCAATCCCATGGTTCTTTTACTTAATTATCACTCTTAACCATCATAGCAATTAAGTTCATATTAGCGTGTTCCATCTCCTTTTCCTGAACATTCTGTACTTAGAAAATGACCATACAATTAAAATGTACCATAAAATTGACAGGAAAAGAATGATCATTGGACAATATGAAAAGGAAAAAAAAAATAGAGCAAGATGTCCAAACTATCGAGAGACATTAATTAGGTGTTTTGTTTTTATCACAATGTCTCCGAGTAGCCAAAAAATGGGGGAATTTCCTAAGTATTAATTTTCTTGACATTGTAGCTTGTGGATATCCCATGACTAGTCCTTATTACATTTAGCTGTCAATGCTTCATTGAACCCATTTCATCGGAATTTTGATTTTCCTTTTTCATGTAAGGTTGATTCTAATTAATATGTGAGTTAGGAGTCACAAAACAAGTTAACTCATTTAAAGTGGAACAAGTTTGTTCACCAAAGAAATAGGATGGGGTGGGTTGGTCCACTAGAAAAAAAATGAGTTGAAAAATATTACCCACTCAACATAGTGGTGAATTGGTGAGTTGACCCCTTTAGTGTGTTAATGAGTTAATTTATTTATTTATTTTAAAAAAAATATCTCAATTAAAATATTTCAATATAAACTATCATTTTAAACTATAATTTTATTATTATTTGTAAAATTGATTAAAGATGTTATATTCTTTCATATAAAGGACCAAAGTAATATATATTTCTATTAAAAAACACTCCACATTAAAATATACTAGTAAAAAATATGTGATTAAAATAATATACTTTTATTTCATATAAAATGAGAATAATTATTTAGAAAGACAAGTTAATTTATAAAATAAATACATTGATCCAATATAAATTTACTATAAATTTATCTTTTAAAAATATAAAAAAAAAATGATTTGACCGATTACACCCATCAAATTAAACAAATTAATAAATTTATTTATCTAATCTAAGTCACTAAAAATTAACCTACATCTATAATATGTAAGTGTATTTGAAGCCACCAGTACTCTAGGAAGGCGTTTTTAAAGTAACTTCAGAGAAGGAATTAATGAATGTATAAACCCATCAAATAAATGAAATACTCCGTGACTTCGGTATTCATTTATTAGATATCACCAAATCTATAAATAATTTGTTTTGAAATAATAATAAAAAGTCATGTGAACAAAGTGTTGAGGGCTAAGATATTTTTATTAAAGAACTAAAATGTTTTTTTTTTTAACAAACAACCACCCTTTTGAAAAATGATGTTATATTCGTCTTTGGAACTAATAATGTAATGACTCGCCATGGTCTTTACATTCAGTAGAATCGCATTACTACTAATGAATTAGAATAAATATTAAAATTGGATAACTCATACATACAAGTATATATATGAATAAAAATAACTAAGTTTCTATGTACAAAATATAACATCATATATGTACAATCATCTCAAAATAATATCGTCCTAGTGCCGGTCAAGCACAGACAAAACTGTTATCCAAAATGGTAGTTCTAACATGAGGACCAACTTCCCGTCCCGCAGCGGTCACATCAACAAGCTCCAACCTAATCCTGACCTACTCCATACACAGTATGATAATTGCAGTCCATCAACATGGAAACAGAAGGGTAAGCTAAAGTTCAATAAACAATCATACAAGTATAGTGATAGGGAAACAACAACACAATAACAATACAGAGCAAAATCAAACAATTATCGCAGCGGAAATAAATTCCCCAAACTTGCAAGAATCTATGAGGAGCAACAACCAATGAACAACAATAATAAATCACCAAAAATCACACATAGAGACACCAAGATTTTTAACGTGGAAAACCCCTCAAAGTAAGGGTAAAAACCACGAGTCGTCCAGACCAAAGAAATAGCTTCACTATGATCAACAAAGAGTACAAAAGAGTCTCAGTCTACTGCACAAAATAGTGCTAACACCCAGCCAAACAACAAAGCAATAAAGCTTACAAATAGAGAACAAAGAAGAA